CCCTCATCCAGGTCGTTGATGAAGATGCTGAACAACACCAGTCCCAGTACTGACCCCTGAGGGACTCCACTAGTCACAGACCTCCAACTAGATTCTGCCCCATTGACTACAACTCTCTGACTCCTTCCTTTCAACCAGTTCTTGATCCACCTCACTACCTGATCACCAAACACATACTTGGATCAACTTATCTACAAGGATGCTGTGGGAGACAGTGTCAAGTGCTTTACTGAAATCAAGATAAACCACATCTACTGCTCTACCGTCATCTATCCATGTAGTAATTTCCTCATAGAAGGCCATGAGGTTAGTCAAACATTATTTACCCTTGATAAAACCATGCTGACTGCTCTTGATGACCCCCATGTCCTTGATATGCCTAGAGATAGTGCCAAGAACAAGTTGTTCCATCACCTTTCCAGGGATGGAGGTGAGGCTGACCGGTCTATAGCTACCCAGGTCCTCCTTCTTGCCCTTCTTGTAGACTGGAGTGACATTTGCTGTCCTCCAGTCCTCAGGCACCTCTCCTGTTACCCATGACTTAAAGATGATGGAGAGTGGCCTAGCAATGACCTCTGCCAGCTCCCTCAATCAAGATTTTGTAAAATATAAAAAATTGCCAAACAAGAACCCCAAAACTTTACAGAAACTAATTAACTTTACATGCCAGTGACACATTCTGGTCAGCGGTTCAACAGCAAACAATGAACAACAATCTTCAACAGGGTTTCACTGATGGCAAATAATGCCTGACCAATCTGGTGGCCTTCTACAACAAGGCTACAGAGATGTGGATGGTGGCAGAGCAACTGATGTCATCTACCTGGATTTGTGCAAGGCATTTGACACAGTCCCACACAACATCCTGGTCTCCAAACTGACAAGGCATGGATTTGACAGATGGAACACTCAGTGGATAAGTAATTGCCTGGATGGCCACACCCAGAAAGTTGTGATCAATGGTTCAGGGTCCAAGTGGAGACAAGTGATGAGTGGCATTCCTCAGGGGTCAGTATTTGAAACAGTGCTCTTCAACATCTTTGTTGGAGACATGGACAGTGGGATTGCGTGTATCCTCACCAAGTCTGCTGATGATACCAGGCTGTGTGGAGCAACTGACACCCTAGAGGGAAGGGAGGCCATTCCAGTGGGACCTTGACAGGCTGGAGACATGGGCCAGTGCCAACCTCATGAAGTTCAGCAAGGCCAAGTGGAGGGTCCTGCACCTGGGTCAGCACAACCCCAGGCACAAATACAGGCTGGAGAGAGAATGGCTGGAGAGCAGCCCAGAGGAAAAGGACTTGGGGGTGGTAGTTGATGAGAAGCTCGACATGAGCCACCAGTGTGTGCTGGAGCCCAGAGGGCCAACCTCATCCTGGGCTGCATCAAAAGAAGTATGGCCAGCAGGGCCAGGGAGGTGATTCTGCCCCTCTACTCTGCTCTGGTGAGACCCCACCTGGAGTGCTGTGTACAGCTCTGGTGCCTTCAGCACAGGAAAGATATGGAGCTGTTGGAGAGGGTTCAGAGAAGGGCCATGAAGTTCAAAGGGCTGGAGCAGCTCTGCTATGAAGACAGGTGAGTGAGTTTGGGCTGTTCAGCCTGGAGAAGAGAAGGCTTATAGAGGTCTTCCAGTACCTGAAGGGGCCTACAGGAAATCTGGGGATGGGCTTTTCATCAGAGATGGTAGTAGTAGGACAAGGGGTAATGGTTTTAAACTGGAAGAGGGGAGATTTAGGTTAGACATCAGGAAGAAATTCTTCACCATAAAGGTAGGAAGGTGGTGGAACAGGTTGCCCAGGGAGGTTGTCGATGCCCTATCCCTGGAGGTGTTTAAAGTAAGGCTTTGTGCAGCCTGGTCTAGTGTGAGGTGTCCCTGCTCATACCACGGGGGTTAGCATCTGATGATCTTTAAGGTCCCTTCCAACCTTAACCATTCTATGATTCTATAATTTAAAGCAGCTAAAAAAAAATACAGCAACTAAAAACGGTTCTGAAATTAACAATTTAATTTAGTCTGAATGAAACACCAAAAGATAAAAACTACAGAGGCAGATACTTAACTGTCTCAAAATTCAACTGATTTCTGGAAGCTTTTTCAGAGTACATAAGTTTTCATTTGCATCCCTCTTCGGACTACATATCAAGAGGTTTTTTCCACATACATACAACAGTAAAATTTATAATGCTATTGAACTTGGTGAGATTATTTTCACCTAAAAACAACCACAAGAAGTAGAAAATAGTATTTACATTTATGAATCCCTACACTATATTTGCTTGGTTACCTCTGTCCCTCATAAGAGGACAGGCATCAGATTGTGGCTGGAACCACCAGCAATAGTCAGTTTCAGCAACCCTTCTCTTTCAGTACAGAAGTAGCAGCACCAGCAGCTTCTTGCTCTCTGGCATGTTTTTAGCAGATACGAGAAAAAAACCACATTAATTACCTCCACTGAATACCGCTTCAAAATACCTTTACTACTACTAGTTGCATGCTAGCATTCAGTATTACTAACCTACAGAGGATGTCTGGGAAATGTAAAATCCTATTAAAAAGGGTTCTTAAACACTTAGCACTGTAATTCCACTTTCAATGTGTGGGACAGTAAACTGAACACAGGTTTCTTGCAAGTAAATTAGAACCACATGTAAAAGCTAAGACCAAAGACAAAATTTGTATTTTACATTTTAAGGAGGCCATCATTCCAAACCATTTTGTTTTGCTTGTATGACAGCTGATGTTAGCCAAACGGTGGTTTCTGGTAACCTGTTTTACCTTACATGCAATGGAACAAGAATATGTAAACATGTGAACACTTATCTCTCCTGACTAACAAAACTTTAAAAACATGGTAGTTCGGAATCCTGTAACCATCGTGACTACATTCCACACTTCTTCAGAACTAGGGCTCATGTCATTAAGAGTTGGAAATGTAAAAAAATATAGAAGTAATTAAAAAAAACAATCCACACATTTCTGGGGACCGTCTACTCACATCATCATTCTGCTGTGCTTCCTGCATGACAAACTCTCGTACCATGGATGGGTTGTATTCAACCAAATATGAGAATATATCAGTGGCTGCACTTCGTACTTGTGCATCATCCATACCCTGGAAAAGCCAAATAGAGTAATTTATATTTCCTTAAATGAACAGGCTTAAATGGAATGAAAAACTGAAAACTTATAGCTATTAATTCCTACTTACAAGTCATACCTAACTATTAATAAACTGTATTTTACAACTGAATTTATTTTACAACTGAATTTAACCCTAACCTCTTATTTGTACATATGACAACTGTTGGGAAAATTTTACAGTTTCCCTGACCTTTGGCATATTTCCCTATTTTCTTAGCTGTACATCAAGAAGTATGCAAAGATAGTAAAGTGAATTAGAAAACAAACACATAAGAATGCCAGGGCACTTACTAATGTCATATTGGATCTGCTTTTAAAAGTTTTATGAAAATATTTTAAATCTTTCAATCTCAATCTAAGACAAGACAAATGAAGCAAACATTGCAGAAAACCAGGAGACTGAAATCTGGCATACTTTCTTTAAAAAAACCCAAACCTCTCTCAAGATAAATATAATTATTATCATAAATAAACTGAGCTGACTTACCAGTATGACTTCTAGTGCTGGTAGTATGCCCATATTTGACAAGGTTTTGAAAAATGCATCTCTATTTTGAGGCTGCAGTGTTTGAGAGAACGCACAAAATTCTTTAAGAAAATTTACCTGAAAAACAGGAACAACATACTAGTTAGTAATAAATTTTTTTTTTAAAAAAATGCATGCATCACTTTGTAGTAACTGTCCCTTTCATGTGTATTTTACAGACTTCTTACCAATTCCTGTCTTTTCTCCTCATCTGTGGCTTCATCTGTTAGTTGGGCAAACAAGTCTGTCAGAAATTTTTCATCCTCCTACAAAGGCAAAACAATATGATTTTTTTATTTAACAATATCAGAAGACATCCAAGTATAATACAAAGTTCTTCTGAACCATGCCTCCTGCAATTAAGAGAACATATGCTTACGTACCGTAGTTAATTGTACCAGCATCAACTTTCTAATTGAATTTTTAAACAATTTAATATGAATCTTCTTTTTTGAGCTGTCATGTTCAACACCTCCCCATCCCTCCACACTTCATTCTTAGTAATGATCTATCTTGTATTGCCTTTTGGCTGTCCAGTTTCTATTCTCTGCTGCCATTCTCATAATTCTGTCTACAACTTCTTCTCTAACCTCCCCTCCCTTGTCACACACCCATCCCCCTAAACCACACTACAATAACCTTGCTTCAGCTGTTTATGTATTTTGATAAACATGAACTCCCAGTCATCCCTACACACCTACATCTTTGGAATGTTACAAGATCTTTGCAGCAGAACTAAAGCAAGGACACAATGAAGGGAGAG